AATTCTCCTAAAAATCCTGTATTATCCCCCTGTAACAGACAAGAAAATTGAGATTTTCTTGGGAGAAGGGGAGAAAGGTGAGTTAACGCTTAATGGTCACAGAGACTGTTTGGAATGATGTTTTGGAAATAGTGGTGATGGTTGCATAACATTGTTAATGTAATTATTAATACCACTGGAGTGTATACTTAAAAATGGTTAAAATAGCAAATTATATCACAAAAAAATTTTTTTAAAAAGGAAATTTTTGTTAGGTCGGCCGACAAGGTGCAGTGTCTCACCATCTGAACCAATACTATTTTTTTTACAGCTTTATTGAGATATAATTGGCATGACGGTACAAATTTAAGGTGTACAACATAATTTGATATACATATATATTGTGCAGTGATGACCATAATAAGGTTAGTTAACACATCCACCACCTCACAGTTACCTTGTGTGTGGTAAGAACGTTGAAGACCTACTCTCTCACAAACTTTCAAGTATACAATACAGTGTTGTTAACTATAGTCACTATGCTGTACACTATATCCCCAGAACTTATCTCACAGATGACAGCTTGTAGCCTTTGACCAACATCTCCTCATTTCCCAGCCCCTGGCAATCACCAATCTACTCTCTGCTTCTATGATGAACCCATACTCTTAACATGAACGTCATGTGCATGTTGAAAATCTTTTGTAACTCGATGAAATAATGATGGAAATTTCAGGTATCTGGCGGAGAGGTCCAGATTTTGTCCTACTAGTCACTCAGAGACCCTTATTCTTTTATCTGGTCCTGTTTTAATTGCTTCTGAAAAGGTAAGTCCACCACTGATTTCGATACATCCACAACGTAAATTTCCTAGTTTAAATTTTTTATCAAGTCGACATCCACTCTGCCAGGAAGAATCAGACCTCAAGGATATAAATTGGCTCTTATTTCAGAGGGTTTACCACTACCTTATTTGATGCTCCATGAGTCAGAGTTTTAAATATCCTGTGCTTTTATAGTATCGATAGATTAAACCACTATCTATAGTCTAGCTGATCCTATCCTCAAGCTCCTTGGGCCTATTTTTGCCCAAGAATCACTTAAACAGGGTCAGGTCAGATTTTAATGTGACAGAATGAGATAAAGTGACTGAGGCAATTTTTAAGCCTGAAGATCTCAGAGGTTGGACTATAATACTGTAATATTACTAATAATAAATACTATGAAATCTTATAGTATTAAGTCACATAGGTCTATAGTTTTTCTTAAAATCAGATGGAATAAAAATTACCCTTTAAGCAAGCTCTTCATCTTTCTATAACATCAAAGAATATGAAGATTAGCTGAACCAAAAGAAATACTCGCTGAATGTGGGAGACCATAGACTACCATTTACTGTAAAACCCAAAGTTGTTCTGTAAATAGAAAGAAGAATGAACTATGCTCTCATTAGTGGGTACAAATGAAGGACAAACAACAACTTTTCACTTAAAGAACATCTTTATTTTATCTTTAATATACAATATTACCTTTAATTTGTAAAAATTACACATGGAGAACATGACTGGAAATCAGGTCAGGAGTAGCCAGTGGGTACTGATTTAGGAGGTTATACTTACCCCACTCATTAGTTTAGGAAAAAATTACATCAGTGAATTTGAGACCAGTGAGATTGAGGAATGGCATTTCAACTTCCAAATCCAGTAATTAAAACTGGAGATACTTTAACTAATCCAACAAAAAATAATTTCTAAATTTTCTAAAACATAATTTTTCCCAAGAAAGACTGAGCTTCTCTCCATGGAGTTGTCTGGTATGCAATTTGCAGAATTCTGTAGCATTCAAAAAGCTGCAAGACACTTGCAATTGTTGGCAATCCTCTGCATGTTAACACATATGCATGTGGGTTTACGTGTTTGTATATTCACACTGACATTCACACTGAGCTGAAGCCATCTGTACAGTGTGCTGGACCTAGAAAGCCTGCTCATTTATAATGTGCTCCCTCTACCACTCTGAACACAGGCTTTCCCTCCTCTAGAATTTCCAAAAATAGTGAAATATCTGATAAACTTCCTAGTGAAAAATCTATTCTCTCAGGATGACTGGTGCATTGCAATGCATATACTAGTAATAGGTGTCATGTAATTTCATGAGTTCTGCTGGGCTCAAAGTTTAGGATTAGTTGTTAAACAGTTAAACAAGGTTGAGGTTGAGGGATGCTTTAATTTAAATATGATGTGTACTGACATTCTGAAATAATGCTACTGATTTGTAAAGGATTTGAGATATTATGCAAGAAAAGAGGAAGGGGAACTCTCCTTGAGGATATATCTTTTCTTTGCACTTCTCAAATTTAGGCTATTCCAGAGGTAACAGGGGCGGCACCCTTCTGCAGTCTAAAAAAGAACCAGTGGCTGCCAAATGGCAAATGAGGCACATAACCCATTCTCTGTTGCTTAAAAATTTTCAAGAGATTGATTTCTACAGCACAAAGGTCAGAAATTCTATCATATTCTTGTTGCAGGACCCTAAAAGTACTCAAGTGGAGGAATTTTTGCAGTTCCAGTAATCCAGAGTCCTGGTCCAAAGGTCAATGAGCAGGCAGAACTTAGAGAGAATATTCTGACACCACAGAGACTCTTTCTTTTACATGGGGACTCTAGAATTGTGGCGTTAAATGACAAGGCAAGTATATTGGCTGATAGCACATCCTAAGAACAAAAAATCTGCCTCTTTCATGATAATCACATCATATTGAAACCTGAACAGACTCCAGAAGGGTATATCTATTTTCAAGACAACAAAATATATAGCTTTAGGTTACACAAATACATACAATCATACACACATCTTTTTGCTTTAAAGATGAATTATGTGACTGAAAACAGAAGAAAAGATGCAAATCAAAAATTACAGGGTCTTAACACAAATTAAACTTGGGATCAAGGATTAACAACTATGAGCCATGGGCCAAATCCAGTCCTCGCTGTTTTTGCAAATAAAGTTTTATTGGAACACAGCTACACCCCTTCATTTACATATTGTCTATACCTGCTTTCACGTTTCAACAGCAGAACCGAATACTAGAGATAGACACTGCATGGCTCACAAAGCCTAAAACATTTATTATGTGGCCGTTTACAGCAAAGCTTGCCGACCATCATAGATCAAAAAGAACATCTCCATCATGATCCGAATGAGCTAAAGTAACAGAAAATCATCTTCACCAATGTTCTGGAACCAGAATAAGTGCATTAAAATATCTCCAGATCATATTTGGTTACTTGAATATTCTGCTTAGAATTTGTGCGGCCAAAACCAGTTAACAATTGTTTGTTAATTAACAAACCCAGACAATATAAAAAATCTGTGTATTATTTATGTATATATCTACATAAAGAGTGGATAAGATACGAGCTAGCCAATTTGAGGGTAAGGAAACCTAAAGAAAAGACCTCAAAATACTATCACTAGGAACCGTTATTTGGAACTTAGAAATATTTTAGTATATTTTTCTTTATATTTAACAGCATGGAACCACTGGTAGGACCCACAGCAGGGCAACACCAATTTAAAACTGCAAGTTTTACTCATGAATTATGTGACAAAATTTTTTGAATACAAAATAACCAGTGCTTCTATAAACCATTAATTTTTAATTATGTAAAGTGATATAGCAAAATAAGAATGTCTTTATTTCTAAAGTAAATATTTTAGTCAAAGTTGCATCAGAAATCAAGTATTTCTTTGACATTTACAAAGAGACTTTAGTTAACTAGAATTATAGCTGTTAGTATTACATAGTAACACAGTTTAAAATATATTATAAACCATTTCTTTTCCTCTTTAATTTAAATGAAATATAAAATTAAGGATTTTGTAATGTGGAAAGCATTTAAAATGGTATGAACTACTTTTATACAGAAAATGCCACTTGAATCACAAAATGTTCTAGTGCTTGAAAGCGCCTCGCACAATGCTTGGCACACAGTAGGTACTCCACATTTGTTCATTCATTCTCTCATTCACTCACGCATTCATTCAAAGAAATCCAGGCTTAAGGAGAGACTGCATAATGAGCATGGCAAGCACAATCTTTTATCAACAAGTTTGTAGTGTTGACAAAGACTTTGGCAATGGACAGTGGAGATGAGCAGCTCATCAAAATTTCAATCTCCTTCATTAAAATCCACCAAGTGAAGCTGTGGGTTGCCCTAGACGACATTATAGAGAATCAGGGTTAATATTCCACAAAAGGAATACATTCTTTCAATACCCAGGTTTTACTTTTACATATAAACATCCGGTCAAAGACAGGAACACGTTGGTGTCAGAGAGACATAAAACAGCATATATGTGCAACTCACCAGAAAGTAAGAACTCTTTGACTAGGGACTTATTTTTCAGCACTGAGACTTCTTTTTGGTTAGGGCCACATTGTCTTGGTTCTAACTTATACTGGTTTGAACCAAAAAGTGTGATTCTAAAATTCTAAGAGATAAACAAATGTTGAAGTTAGAGAGGCATTCAACATCTCTCTTTTTTCTTTTATGTACCAACTGATCTATCTATTCTGCACATTTGTGTCAAAGGCAAAAAGTGAGGTGTCAGCTCTTTGAAGAGGCACCTGGAAAGAAGCATTTCTAGGCTCTTTGCAGAAGGTCTTATAAATGTAATGAGTATTTAACCTGAGTATTAAAGTCTACAAAATGCAAAGGACTGTAAAGGACAGAAGAAAGTAAAGAATATTCTTGGAGATTAAGCAGAATATAGGACAAGGATTGATCTTGGAGGAAACAATTTTAAAAATCTGTAACAAAAATACTTTCTCTGCATGTATTGAGATGATTACGTGATTTTTATTCTTCATTTTATTAATGTGGTGTATCATGTTGATTGATTTGCGAATGTTGAACCAGCCCTGCATCCCTGGAATAAATCCCACCTCACCATGGTGTATAATCTTTTTAACATATTGTTGTACGCGTGTAACAAAAATAAAACATGACACTGGCAAGTCATTTGTAGCTGACTTTAATTGCCTTTGGTATTCAGAGAAGAAAAAAAATGGAAGCATTGTTATAAGCTCTAGTCTTCTCATCATCACAAGGAAGGTAGGGGGTGATGAAGAAGACCCTTCCGCTGTCCCTCTCAAATTCTTTTCTTGTACCGGAAGTAGCCATGCTTGCACACTCCTCCGCTTCTCTTAAGCTCCAGTCACCCGAGAAATACAAAGAGAGCACTTGGGCTGGGAGTTCTGTCTTCTCATTCCTTGAGAAGTTCCTGGGCAACCAGGTAGGCCCCTTCACTCTGCCTTCTTCTAAACAAAGTGAGAGAAGGTTTGCTGCCATCTACACAGCTGCTCTGGGTCATTGCCAAGTCCAGTTTTTCACTTTTTTTAGTGACTCATAAGTGGGCTTGTGCTATTTTTAGGATAAAAATGAGGGCAAACTTTTTTTGAGAAGCAAATACTTTCCCTTTCTCTTCTAAAGTTACAGTCATCTACCTTTCTCATTTAAGAATTTTAATTTTTCAAGTAGTAAAAGATATTACAGTTTCAAAATATGTGCTAAACTTTAACTCTTAAAAACTTAAATAATGCAACTGGCTCTTCATCCTTGTCTTCTATGTATACTGAAAAATCTTGGGGTGGGTATCATTTATGGATCACTTGGTAAACTGTGAGGATTGTTTGACTATTTGTGATATAAGATGATTACCCTTAGAAAATATTTAATTATATTAATTTATTAAATCTTTTCCCAATTTAAATCTACTACATGCTAATAAGAGATTAAAAAGAAAAGCTATCAAAAAATGAAATAAGCCTTCAGAATTCCAAGATGGGCTTCTTGCACAAACACTGTTTCATGAAATCTTCAAATTCAGAGTAAATATTAAACTAATTATTACTCCCAACTTTTATTGTCAATGCAAGCTGTTTTGGATTAAATGTCAAGAAGAAAAAAGTGTCTTGCACTGTGACATAAATTTAAGGGACATAAAATTTATAAGCTTTAGATATTTATCTTACAATACAGTTCTTGATAAACTTTAAGTTCTTCCCCCAAAATATAAAGAAATAGTAATTTCTTTAAAAAGAAATATCATTGCAAAATCTATTGATGGTAAGAGAAAATCCCTTGGATATATCCCAAATTTTGTGTAATATAATTAATTACATGACGCTTTTATCAGCAAAAATTATTTTGAAGCTATTCTAATTAATTCTTTGGATTCCTCTAAATATCCTTGGAGAAAGTAAAAGTTGAATTTATTTTTTACATAAAACATTTGTGAAAAGCTCACTTATCTGATGAGATAATAAATAAAGGATCCCTTGTCCCCACTCCAGATAGAATATTTAAGGAAGTTTCACTATATTTTGTTTTTGATTTAAAAAGTTGTGAACGTAACCTGACTCATCAAGGTAAATTCAGAGCTGCAAAACAGTATAACGAGTTTTGCTAAGCCATATAAATAAAGTCGTAAGTTGAAGGATTCTACTAAGTTTATAATGAGGTTAAAAATGGATAAAATCTACTTGGTAGATTTGCTGGTTTGGGAAAATAATCTCTTACCAACAAAACCAAGGCTTTCTCTTAGAACAGGTTTCAAGGCAACAAACTGCAGCATTTTCCCCGCTTTTTATCATGCTACCAACACTAGACTGAACAACATGCACAAAATCCCAAACCCACGGTCTAAGCAGTGGTTATGATAAATAGCAGTTTCAATGATTCTATATGGAGACAAAGACTTGAAGAGTATTCTTTGTGAGATCATGCCCTCAGAGAAAATTAAATTTAACCAAGAAATTTCAGTGGAATGGATTGGGATTTGAAACGGTTGCCAGTCTGGTCATCCATTGGGGAACTGGAAAAATCAGAAAGGGACAGGTACTTCTGCTTCTTTTTCGACTCTTCCTGCTGCTGATGCAGTTATACTATTCTTCTGTTCTTGTTTATTTTCATTCATTCCATTATTAAAAATGGAGAAAAAAGGGATAAACAACGAGTAAATATTTGATTTGAAAGCTGCTCCACTTGGGGAGGAAACATACATATAACTGGTTCCAAAGCCATCTCTAACTCCTGCAAGATGCTCCATATTCTTGGCTTATTCTTAGGAAGTCTAGCCTCCAGATTCCAGGACTCTAAAAACAATATAGTAGTAACAGGCATAATTTCTCATGTGACCATCTCATTAAGAATCAAAGCACATCAGGTCTCTGTCCTACACATACCAGAATATGTTTTGGTCAGGTATAAAATGGAATCATTTCAAAGTTGAGATATCTACAAGTTGAAAAGTCTCGTGGGGAACAGTCATGTTTCACCCTGCCATGCTGACTTAAGAGGTCCAGGTTTTCAAAAGTCCCCTCTCCAGACTCATTTCTGTAGTGGTCCATGTAAACAAAACACAGGTGAGAATGGTCTTTCTGGAGCTGCTTTCATCGAACAGCAGGATTTCCTGAAAGTGTGGTGTTGGCTAGATGTAACACTGGTAGAGGATGAGCCTCTGTATTAAACACCCAGTGGTCTAAAGGTAAAAGGTCATCACCGGAGAACAGCAGATACAAATATCTGAAAATAAAAGGGAGAAAAATGAGTTTCAATTAGGATTCAACAAGAAGATCAAGCAATCTCAGTTACAATGGCAGAGAAAACCAATAAACTGTTTTGAGCAGCTTTGATGAAAAACACATCAGAGAATGAACCTCAGTCACTCAAATGATCTAAAACACAAAAATGATGTGTTCCAGAATAGTGCATAAGAAAATCTATTAAGATGCACAACTAGATCTCTCAAATAAGACAGTTAAAAAACAATTCCACACACCTGTCTGAAGCACAGAAAACAACAATGCTGTAAAATGGCATAAAACAAACCACTTCATAACTTTTCAGACATTCTTTTAAAAATCACATATATCAATCATATGTTTTGGCAGCTTACAGAGCTCACAGTATAACTAGATATTAATTGATTAACTCACATTTATTTATTTACTGAAGGAAATAAGTAAAGTACATTATTTGGACATAGCAAGGACTTTTACATATTCCTAATACATGAGTAGTTTTTGCAGTTCTTGGAGAAGGTACTGCAAACTGTTAAATGAAGGTTTCAGAAACATTATGGATTCACAGGAGGATTAATAATTTATTAATTGCTCTTAATATGTAATAGCATTGTTTATACGAAGGCAAGGATTCCTGACCTCTCCACGAACACTGCAAGCCACAGTGGTCACTTAGAAATTAAAAATGACAGCGTTAACACACATAATGATTCTTATCTATAATGTTGGGCAAATTCTAATCTGAATTCTATTAGGGGGTCCTCAAAGTGAACATAAAAAAGCAACTAGACAGAGTCAGGAAATCCGGGTTCTAACTCTTGATTTTTAGCAATAACTAGCCGGGCCTTACTAGACTTCAGTGAAGAATACCTTTACAGTGTTTTAGCTAAAATTTCTTTATTTTAAAAACAGGCACATTAATATCTTGACTGATTACTGTTATAGTTCTGGATGACAGAGTAATGGAGATTGCATATCAACTTTATAACTGATAAAGCTGGAATGGAGAGTAACAGGGCTTCCAGTCACTCCTTGACCCTAGACCTTGGCACCTGCTCGACTCTGATTTATTTACCAGACTACAGAGAAGTCAGAACTGAATAAACAGACTTGGTTGGACATCGTAAGAGACTCTGCTGGGTCTGCTTACTGTATGGATACCAGAAGCACAAGCTCTTGGTGTTCTGAGCACAAACGTGTCCAGGAGAGCTATGTTCGGTGCACTTCCAGGTCTCTTGGTTAAATGTGGGGTAATGGGTCAGGCTCACTCTAATCTCATCACTTCTTGAGACAGGAGTGAGAGAAGGAATAGAGAGAGAAAATGCAAGAGTTTCCTGAAAAACGACTCCTTTCTATGGAGGATGCTATGGAAGTACCCCATGTAAACACAAATATTATAAAAATCAGTAAGATAATGAATGTGAAAGTTTTAGATAACAAAAAGTGATATTATTTTTAAACCATGATTTAAGAAAAGGATCTTAATTAGGGCCAGCCCCGTGGCATAGTGGTTAAGTCTGGTGCCCTCCACTTCAGCAGCCCAGGTTTGCAGGTTCAGATCCCTGGCATAGACCTACACCACTCATCAAGCCATGCTGTGGCAGTGACTCACATACAAAATAGAGGAAGACTGGCACACATGTTAGCGCAGGGCTAATCTTTCTCATGCAAAAAAAGTAAAGAGGAAGACTGGCAACAGATGTTAGCTGAGAGTGAATCTTCCTCACCAAAAAAAAAAGAATCTTAATTAAAAACTACTAGCGTGGGTTGAATAGTGCCCCCTCCCCCCATTCATGTCCACCTGGAGCCTCAGAATGTGACCTTATTTAAATAGGGTCTCAGGAGATGTAATTAGTCAAAGATCTTGAGATGAAATCATCTTGGATTTAGCGTGGACCCTAAATCCAATGACTTGTATCTTTAACAAGAGAAAGGAGAGGGAGATTTGAACTCAGAGATACACAAGGAAGAAGGTCATGTGAAGAGGCAGATTGAAATTATGCTGCCACAAGTCAAGGAACACCTTCAGAGAGAACTCATTTCAGACTTCCGGCCTCCAGAACTGTGAGAGAATAAATTTCTGTTATGCCACCAAGTTTGTGGTAATTTGTTATGGCAGCCCTAGGAAACTAACACAACTTCCATCTTTACCCTCTAGGATACCCCTGGACCTTAGCACTGCTGCTTGGAACAAGACTGACCACTTCTTGGAGAGTCAAATATACATATATTTAAAAATTTATAAAAAAATCAATGTTTGAAATTAAAGTAATATAGCTAAACAATGCATTTTAACTTTGGATTACACACTCAGAAGAGGATGTCAAGGACAGTACACTATTACTGATTTAAATTTAAGATTTTTAATCTGGATTTTAAAAATAGAACTATTGGAGAAGCATGACCTTTGCTGTCAAAGTTGAGAAAACTCTACAATCTAAATTAGCTATCAGACTACTAGATATTTTTTCCTCTAATAAGGATTTTTTTAAAACTATAGTTCAATTTAGAGATAACATAACAAATGGCACTGACAAAAGCCTGTAGGTATATAAAAAGGTGCTGTTAAAGTACTTCAGTTTTACTGAATGTCTTGCTTACTTTTTAGAGCTATTTTTAAGTGCTGTTTACATACATCTCTTCTATCTTCTCTTATCTAAAGACAAGACACTCAGAGGAGGTGGTGGTGGCAGAATTCATCTCAACATAAGTGTTGGTGGTAACCAAATAGGAAAGTTTTACAGAAAGAAAAGTCAACCAAATCTGGGGAGAAACATTTAAGTGTCTACAGAGAAACAGTAAGGCTAAAAGAACCAACCAGCAGGTTGATGTGTTCTTACTCAATCCTTTAGGCTTATTTGTCAAATGAGCATCAATGAGTCTTTCTTCTTTTTCACAGCTGCCAACGGCAATGTCCAGTGCATTATGGATAGATGTTACTACTCTAAAGAGGCTTGTATTAGGAACTGAGTAACTCATAAGAATATCTTAGATTGGTTGAAAAATAATTTACTTAAAACTTCTATTTCATTTATACTGCTAATGTTTAAGTAATGTCTTTGAAACAGACTGGTTAGAAAGCAAATTAAATTGAAGATAGTAGAAAACTGCATTCTAAAAGATGATACATTAAAACATACAATTATTAATCTCTCCAAAAGATCTGCCCCTCTCTGCCCTTCCCCGTATCGTTTCTCAAATCTTAAAGTTGTTTTTTGGGGGTAGAGGCAGGAAAGAAAAAATATTGAAACAAATGTGAGTATATTATGGATTCAAATGCAAAACATACTTGCATTTTTTACAGATAAACTGAAGGGGGCAGACATTTCTGGTATGCTGCAACGGTTTAGGCTTTCTCCTGAGATATAAGGCAGCTGGGGGGAATTCATTTCCCTCTGCCTTTAGGGGTTGGATAAATTAGGATGATTTTGCCTATAGGATACAGGATACCTAAACTACAGAGGTAACGAATGTCAGTTAATTCAGCAGTAAAACACTGTCAGAGCGCTGGGTTTTGTAAAGGTTAATAAAAAATATATTTTTCCTGGTGCCAAAAAACCTTATCCCTTTCCCTTTTCTTAGATTATTGCTTCGAGAAAACTTGTAATTGTCCCTTTGATATATATGTAAATCTTTTTAAAAGCTAAATAAACCTCTCGCCAGCTTTACAATCCAGAAATGTTTTTCTTAAAGGCCTGGGAGCCACGTCTTTGAAATGTAAACACCGAGGAAGATAGCCGCCGCCCCTCGCCACCCCCCCCTCCCGTCACTGTGGGAGGTTAGTTTAGGTGCCTTTCTCTAAACTGTAACTACCTCCTTGTCATAAAGATAGAAGTATTACTTTTCCTTTGGATAAAAGCAATTAATTAACACCAGTGGCCACCCCAATTACCACGTGAATTTAGAATGAACTATGTATAGCAAATGGTGCTGTCGAGAAAGTACTCTTACAGAAGGATAAGTTTTCATTTATGTTGAGAACACGTACCTAATGGATTGCATCTGCCTGGTTATACAGAAAGGTGAGATTTCTTTCTGTCTTTGCAATCTGTCTGTGATTTGTAGTCTGGTTTAATGCTTACTCAATGATAAAAATATTTTCTTTCTCTGCTACATTTGTGGAGAGGATTTTTTGGGTTGGCAGGAGATTTTGTTTTTAATTTTTTCCCCAGTAATCAGGATCTCGTGATTTTCTTGACTTTCTCCTTAGAATTATAAGATGCTCCATGCCTTACATTTCCACACAAAAAGTCCCAAGTTAGAAAGTAAAAGGAGCCATCCCATCTCTTCAGGTGTGGGTCTATTTTGACATTCTAATAGGTGTGTAGTGTATCTCATTGTAGTTTTAATTTCTACTAATGATGTGGAGCATTTTTTCATGAGCTTATTTGTCATCCTTATATCTTGGGTGAAGTGTATGTTCAATTCTTGCTTGGTTTTAAACTGGGTTATACATTATCTTATTGTTGAAGTATTATTTGAGAATTTATTATATATCCCAGATGTAAGTCCCTTATCAGATGTATAATTGGCCAAGATTTTATCCCAGTCTGTGGCTTGTCTTTTCATCATTTCATTTTCTTTCATTCTCTTTCAAAAGAGCAGATGTTTTTAATTTTTAGACCAATTGATCAATTCCTTCTTTTATGGATTGTTTTTGATGTAATATCCAAGAAAACTTTGCCTAAGCCCAAGGTCACAAAAATCCTCTCCTATGTTTTCTACTAAAAGTTGTATATTTGGGGTTTTAAATTTAGGTCTATGATGTTTTTTGAGTTGATTTTTGTGTATGCACACAGAAATCCAATTACTCCAGCACCTTTTGTTGAAAAGCCTATCTTTTCTCATTGCACTGTCTTTGTACCTTTGTCAAAAATCAGTTGTCCATATGTATGTAGGGTTTTCCCCACTGAACCCCTCTATTCTGTTCCATTGATATATCTGTCTATAATTATACCAATACCATAGTGTTTTGATTATTAGAGCTTTATAATAAGTTTT